GCCTCACTGAGAAGTTAACACTTGAGCAAAAATTTGAAGGATATCTGGTTTCAGAGTTCCACACAGAGGGAAAGGCCAATGCAGCAGGAGCCTGCCTGGTTTGAGTAAACCCAAGGAGGCCAGTGTGTCTGCAGCAGTTTGAGTCATGGGGAGGAATGGTAGGAAGTGGGGCTAGTAACAGGGGCCAGGTTGTGCAAAACCTTGGAGGCCTTTCTGGGAAATTGGGATTTTACGGAGAGTGAAATTGGAGCCATTGGAGCTGTTATGAGCAGAGGACTGGCATGATTTGACTTACATTTTAAAAATGTATCCCTCTGGGTGCAGTGTTGAAAATATTTCCCAAAGGGGTGAAAGATGAAAGCAGAGGAGTCACAGATGACTGAGGTTTTTGCCTGAGCAACCATAAAGCTGAAATTGCCATCATTTGAGGTGAGGAAGACTGCAAGATGAGCAGATCAGGAAGGGAGAATGTTGGGAGCCATGCAGGCTGACTTTACTGATTGCATATCTTGTTTTACTTGCACCTGGAGGGTGTTTTGCTTAATCTCGAAGTATGTGGAGAGAATGGCCAGTGCCTTGGGAGACACAATAAAGATAGATGGCTATCTGGCATTAGGGAAGAAATTGTCCCCACTGACCTTTAAGTTTCTAAGTGGATTATCAATGAATTACTCTGGAATGAGGTAATGCGTATTTGTCCCTTCTTTTTTGTACACACCCTGGATGTATATAATGGTGGTGGAAAATAAACTCGCGGTTTCAGTATTTACTGGAGTCCTCCCGGTAACTCTCTCTTCTGTCTCTTTTCTTAATCCTCGCGCCCCCCCTCAGGACTGTTCGACATATCGGCTGGAGATAGGAGAATCAGGGGTCCCATTTTTGATGTTACTGAGATGTCTATTAAGGGCTTCTCAGTCTAGCTGTTGGACGCTACTTGGTTTGGCTTCATGTTCACTTCTCTCACAATCTGGTAGTTCTATAATCTATAGTTCAAATGAACTGCTAGAAACATGGAATAAAGACATTTAAAATACAAATGTGAATCTTGTTCATACATAACATAAAGTAGTGACTCTATCAAATTGCTATGACATTTTAAAGCACTTCAAATTCTGTATTCTTTTGTTGCAGATAGGTAACAAATATTTCATGGACTAGTGGACTATTAACCAGTATTTCCTGGCTGGATCTGATCTGAGGGCCACCCTTTGGATAACTCTATATTAGACATCTAAGTGGAAATGTCTAGCACATAGGTGAATATTCAAATCTACCTTTAATCGTCACCAAAGGGCACAGGCAATGTCTATAAATTCACTTTGAATGGAATTTAAGATTAATTCTGACTCGACAACTATTCATTGAGTATGTACCACAATTAAGACACTATGCTGGCCTTTTTATGGCAGTACCACGGGGAAGGGACAGATTAAGATCTGTGGGCAATCTGGACAGCCTAATAATTGAGCATCCCTTCACACTAATATGCTTTAAAAATGTATTTACCATTTATCTAGTGGAAATATGAAAAAACTGATTCCCAATAAGAAAACTTATTGGGAGCATATTGAACTGTTTAAAATTTAGATATTAAAGCTGGCAGAACTCAGAGATGAAAGCATTATCTTTTGGTTGAACCCTGTGATTTGTGTCATTTGTGCCCTCATGTGGCAAAAAATATTCAACATAGATTTTATTTTAAATATGAAGCTGTCTACTTGGTTGAGAGAAGAATTGATTTTATCTCTCTCCTGCTATGTGAGAAGTTCCTTGTGGAAACCCAAACTAATTGACAACCTGTTTTCAATTCATTGCTGTGAAGTTTCATTTCTTTTGAAGAAGGCCCCCTATGACAGCAATGTGGTGGAACTCTCCCTTTATCTGGCTTGGTTCTGATTAGCATCCCAGATTTTACAAATGTAAAATAGAGATATAGAGAATTTAAATAGCTTGCCTGATGTCACTTATCCGGAAAGTGACAAACACAGGCTTCAGCGTAATTTTCTAACTTTAAGGACAGTATTACTTGAGTGACTCCATTTTGAAAAATATTTAAAATACCCTAATGGTAATAATCATTATACATGTAGACTGGTATTTCACCAACTCTTGATGCTTGTTGATGTTGTAGGACTATCATCACCGTACAACGACCTTTCAATCAACAACTATTTCTGGGTATAGAGAATGGAGTCTCACCTATACAAACAAAGGAATCCACTCTGCTTCGACATGGCCCCATATTTTCCTTCTCTGCTCCTAAACTGGCCCCTCTAGAGACATCGTCTGCCCATAGCCTGCCGACCACCTGTAGGATCGCCTTCCCTTGTGGGAAGGACCAGCAATTCTGATGGGGGAGCTAGGTCCTCTTTATTCCCCATTAGAAAATTCTGTGCACAATTCATAAGAATGCCTTTCTCCTCACTTTAGTGTTGCACATATTCCAATTTCATATTGAAGTTTTTTAGTTCATTTTTTCCCTAGAATTGCCACAACTGGTCCTGTCCTCCAATATCTAAGCTTTCTTCCAAAGTCAGACCTTTCTCTCTGTTTACTCATTTCTGAAGGTAAGTACTCTTCTGGGGTGCTCCTCAGTTCCTCATGCAATAGGGTGTGATAGTTTCCCCCAAGCAGGTTCTCGAAATCCCAGGAGTTTAGGCCTCAAACAAGGAAACGTCCTTCCCTCCTACCCCTTTTCCCTCCCAAGCATACTGATGCAGACAAACAAAAGGCATCCTCAACCCTTAGTCTCTGAGCTAACTCTTTTTAAAAAAAATCTCCAAATGGACATCCCCTTGAGCTGTTTCTAAAGAAACAATACAGAAAGGCTTGGGGTTTCACCCAAATCACAAGATTATATCATCTTTACTTTCTTAAATCTGGCTGCAAAGGATTATGGACTTTTTTAAGAAAAGGAAATTATTATTTGGAAGAATATAAAGAAGCTTTTGTTAAAGTGTTTCTTCTAGATTTGCTTTAAATATATTCAACCTGTATTTTATTAAATACCCATGTCAACACTGTGCTAGACAATCCTCACCTTAAAATCCAGTTGGGGAGACACCATATAACAAGTCACTGCAACGTAGTGTAATACTTGCTATAGTGGACAAAAAGAAAAGAGGTACTAATTCTGTTGGGATCCTCTCAGATTTCTGGCTCTGCAACCTGATGGACAGTGGATACTATTATCTAGGGTAGAAAATAAAGAAGGAAAAAGTTTCCAAAAGATACCTGAAAGATAGCTAAAAGGTAACGAATTGACTTTTGTCTCTGCTAAGTTGTGATGCCTATGGTACCGTCATTCATTCATTCACTTACTCATTCAATATCTTTATTTAGCAACCATCAAATGTGGTGAATGAAGCTGGATGTGTATTTGGAAATGTTCAATAGAGAGTGGAAATCAGGTCTGGAATTGAAGAGCTCTATTAGGTAGAGAGTATAGAAATGGAAGCCACTGATGTGTTTAGAGAGATAGCTGAACCAAAAGGAGTAGATTTGTGACACCAGGGGAGTGCAAAGAATGAGAAAAGAAGACCCAGAAGTGAGCCCAGGGGAAACTTTTTCAGTGTCAAGAAGAGGCTGGAGAAAAGTTGTCACAATAAGCCCTCCTCCTTTTGTTTTTATTTAGTTTTTTGACTTCCTTAGTAAAATTTATTTACATTTTGCTAGTACAAATTCTTCAGAAACTTGGAATATACATGATCTTCGTAAACATCATGTAAAGTCTTATCTAATTTGAGATCTTTGTCTCAGGTATGTCTATAAGCATCTTCTCAATAAAGAATTTTCATTTAGGGCCGTCCGAGTGGCGCGTTGGTTGAGTTGGCTTGGGACACCAGCTCTGAGCAGCAGGGCCCCGGTTCGGATCCATATTAGGGCCAGTGACACTGTGCCCTCTACAGCTCGACCTGGAGCCGGGCTGCCGTGAGTCACCAGCGAGGGCATAGGCTGCGGTGAAGCTGCAGTGGGTTGCCATAAGCTATCCTGAGCAGCTGGCAGCCAGTGTGAGCTGCCAAGAGCCGCAGTGAGTGGCCATCCAGAGGAGCAGCCGGCAACCAATCTGCCTCAGCCGGGAAGAGCGCAAATGATAATACCAACATGGGCCCGTGAAACAACGTCCTCCACAACTAGAATGAAGAACAAAAAAAAAAGAACAGCAACTTGTCTGTTCTCCTACCCCGATTCCCCAACATTGTTGCCCTCCCCCAATTCCCCAATAAAATCTTTAAAAAAAAGAATTTTCATTTAAATTGAATGTAAAAAATTAATTTAGCCTAATCACAGCAGTCAATTGCATTGCTTTCTTAAATTCTCCCAGCTTACAAATTAGCAGTTGTAATTATTTTTAAAGGAAAGGGGGGTACAGTGTGCAGAGAGAGGAGCTCCACTGTATGAATCCCATAGGACCCATAACCACAGATAAAATGAACGTTGGAGTTAATCTTCTTCCCCTGAGACTCATGCTTACAGTTTGAGTTCAACTCTTTACAAAAGTTATTTCTGGCAAGAGGAAAAGGTAACACATTAGAAGATAATCGAACCCGATTATCTCTCCTTCACACAGGAATCTAGGACAGGTTCCCAGGAAGGGCCCAGCTCGCCTCTGGGGTAAGCAGGACAGCTGCCCTAAGGATTTTAACCCCTCAATCTTCATATCACCTTCCCTCCCTGCTGCTAGAGAGCACATTCTAAAAGGATTCTCCTTCCGATACGGTTGCGCTGGACCAAACTTTGTCAGACCTGGAGTCAGACAGGGCCACTGTCCTCAATATATCTAAGTTGCAAAATTCCTTCCTTGCAAGTGAAAAACTGCGTACCTCGCCCTGTTCCCTGTTGCATGGCATCAGCATAACAGCAACCAATCACAAGCCTGTTCTGAAAGAGACTGTTAGAAAGCGGAGGCTGTATTGGTGATGGAGCTTTGTCAATCTCCGCAGAGTCACCGCCTCTTTTCTCTTAGCAACGGGTGCGTCACAGCAACAGCCTGCCGAGGAGCTGCGGTTTGTGCTCTTGGACTTGTTTTTCTAAGAGAGGAGAGTCAAACTTCCATCTTCAGGCCCCGAAGGAGTTTTTCCCTAGGGTACTGCAAAGAGGCTTCTTATCCCTTCAGTTTAGCAGTATCAGGTAAGGGAAGCTCTGAATGGGAAAGGAGGTTTGGAAAAACAATTAAGTATTTTATTCACCCTTTCAAGGGCACTTGGAACATTCTCTATGCCAGCAATGTGCTAGCTACTGTAAAAACTACAAAAAAGGACAAAACCTAACCTGCTTTCAAAGGACTTCCAGCCCAGCCAGGAGACAAAAATAGCAACAAGAGAGCAGTTAACGACACTCTTAAGAACTTTGAGGGCAGGTAGTGTGTCTTGTTCACATCCCCAGTGTCTATCACATTGCCTGGCACATAGTGGGAGCTCAATAAATACTGGATGGATGGATGGATGGATGAATGAATGGATGGATGGATGGATGGATGGATGGATGGATGGATGGAAAAACAGTTTGATCCTGGCCATTCACTGGTATCAGGAATCAAAGAAGAAAAGATTAATGTGGACTGAAGTACTTTAGAGAGATGACTTCAGAGCCATTAAGAAAGGTCTGCAGTAGATAGTGAAGACAATGACAGGGAAAACACTAACTTTTTGAAAGTGGAGATTTTGTCTTATTTCTCTAGTGACCTCCAGTGCCTAGTTGCTGCTCAGTAATTTCTCTCTCCTCCTGAGTGTATGCTGAATACTGAACAAATTCACAGCAATTTTCAGGCAGCTCTGAGTTTGAGGCTCTCTGCTTTTGCAGAAGCCTGGCATAATTAACTGCATTACAGGGTGATTAGAAGCATCAGGGAAAACAAAATTGTTTAAGCCTCTGAGTGAGAAAGTTGGGGAGGCTTTAGAGAGAAGGTCATATTGGAGTTGGACCTTGAATGAGTAAGATTTAAGCAAGCAGAGAAATGTGTGAATGGTGTGAAGCAAGAGGGATGGGGAGAGAAGGGAATTCCCCAGAGAGAAAGACAGGAAGTTCTGGCGACTGTTTGGAGAATGGAGAGTAATCCTATCAGGCTGGAGTAGAACTGGAAAGGTGGATGTGGTGAGGCAAACTGTGAAGGGTGTTAAAGGTGATTCTTACACTTCACTCTATCCTGTTTCACAAAGTCTAGTCTGCAGACTACCAGTGCAAGACTACCTCATAGTGATTTTTAAAATGCAGGCTCACCCAGACCTGCAGGATCACGGTGGCTCCGGGAAATCTGCATTTCTCCACTCCTGGAGATGAGCTGTGGACAATACGGATCCACATTATATTCACCAGTATATAAGGACGTGACTCGTTCAGATCTGGGTTTTAGAAAGAGAGTGCTGAAAGCCTGCCCTGTCCGTGACTATTCCGGTTGGAACAGAGGCAGGGAGTCCATTAAAGTGGCTGTGATCTAGTTGGAGGGTGGGGGAGGAGACTCTGTGGATAGAAACATAAAATTGCCTGTTTATTTTTACTAACTGCTGATTGAAATGTATGTGTTTGGTAATAAGCCACCATGGTAGTAGCAGGACTTGTCACTTTGTCACTAAAAGAAATTACAGCTGTTTTCATATTACATTAAGGATATTATTGATTTATGATTTTTGCTCATCACATCCTCAAAATTAAGGTAGTAATTAGGACCACTGCTACATCTTGTTATTTAATGTGTTAATAGAGAAGCACATAACATTAGTATAACTTAAAAATCCTTTGATAACCGTATTTCAATATCTGTCTCCCTTTTAGTCCTGTGCTTTATTTGACGTATGGGCTTCAGCAGGCTGCCAAGGGGGTTCCTGGCACAAAACAGTTAGGAACCTCTGGTATAGGAGGACTTGTTAGCAGAACAAGTGGAGACCACGGGAGAGGCAGGCTTGGAATCCAAGAGACATTTCTAAGGGCAACGTAATGGGATAGCATCTACTTACAGGAATAAATATTTAATCTTGGAAAGAGATGGTTGCTAGGTAGGAAATGGAGAAACTAGTGTTGTAGACTATTTGGAATTATTGTAAGAACAGTTATTTCTGGAGGGTGGATGTTGTGTGCTGGTCAGAAGATGGTTGAAGAGCCCAGGAGAACATTGAAGCTTAATTAGAGTCTTGGTGGAGATTGAACAAGAAGCAGCAATTCTTGGAGATACATTTACCAGAATCCCAAGGTGTTAGTCTTGGATTGTATTCTAAATCTTTGTTTAAAAATAGAAAAGATGGAAAGCAAGCTTAATGAGCTTACAAATACTTTGGGAAGAGAAAAGAGGATGATGACCACCTAGAAAAGGTCAGCTAATTGAAGAAGACTCGGGGACCTAATACTTTCTAAGGAAGACCTTAGGTGGAAACAAGGTGCCAGAGCTACAGGTCTTCCAGAATTAAAGGTCTCATGGCTGAAGGTAAGCCACACATGCATACAGGTAACAAGTGGGAACTGTAAGCAGGTGTGC